TGAGTTCTCCTGTGACCTTGCTCTTCATTCCCCATCCGCACCCGTAGCTGATGGACTCGTGGAACTGCTCCCAGACATTGAACAACTCCGGAATGCTCCTCCATGAGCTGGCGGTGAGAGGGTGCTCGATGGAGATCTCGGTGCCGAACTGCCTCCACGCGTAGAGTAGAACCTCCAGCACATTCCTCATGACTCGAAGTCCCCACCTTCTCGTCTTCATCAGCTTCTCTTGAGATTCGACTGTGTTTGGCCTGCCGTTCTGCAATGCTGAGAACGGAGTGCATGGAGGTGAAGCATGTGCCCATCGAGGTCGTTCTGGACGGATGTGCTCCTTCGCCTTGTCGACAGATGACCTGCGGCTGAAGTCGAACAAATTGAACAAGCCCATGCGGGTTACCTTGCCTCCCATAGCTTCCACTTGACCTCCCAGCGTGCTGTCCGGCGGGGCGCATATCTCGAGCAGGTCTGTCCGGTACTTTCTCGTCATCTGATTAAGCTCCCTGGTGCCCTTCTTGTCGATCTGAAAAGCGGCCAGTAGTGCTTTCTGACGAACTCGTGGGGGGAGCAGTCCTACCACTCGTAGCTTATCTCCCGCCAGGCCCAGTGGCCCAGATGTCGACCAAAACCCGTGGGTGGGCTGAACTTCTTCGGGCACTCATTCTTGCTGTACTTCATGAGCTGACCGTGAGCATGCCAATGACGTCGAGCTTGAATCCTCATCGCCAGTCACTGCCATCGGTTGAGTCCGGTCTGTCCCGTACTGCACTTCTCAGGGTCCTTCTCGGGCTCCTGATGGCTGGCCTTCTTGTTGTTGATCTTCAGGATATTCGAGCCCCTGAGGTCCACCTTCCCGTTGCTTGGGGGCTTCTTGTTGAAGCTGGTCGTCTTCGGAATCTCCGTAGTCGGCCCCTTGGATGTCGGTAGCGTTGAAGGTGTAAGCAGGTGCTCCTTCGAGTTGTTGTTCTCGCTGGTCCTCTTCTTGGCGCGCGCCACGCTCGGCATCTCCCTGATCTCGGCGTCGATCTGGAGACCCTGGCAATTGTCCTTGATTAATGCGCTCTCCACCTCGGCGAGCAGGCCACACCACTCCTTCGTGCTGTTGTCCGCCATGACTCGTCGCGCTGCTTCCGCTAACGTTCCGTCCCGAGCTGCTTGTCGTGCTGCTGCCTCCCGCGGCTCCTCGATCGCGCCCAGGTCGGTCACGGCGCACAGCTCCATGGCTTGGCACCTCAGATCCTCGAAGAACGTCTCCGACCCATGTCCACAGCTGCTGCTGCAGCAGCAGCTGGCTGCGATGGCTGCTCCGATGGGCGCGAGGCCTCCACGTCGGGCGGGCGACTGCCGCCCACCACATCCCATTCCTCGAATTCCTCGTCCGAGATCTCGTTGACGCCTGCTGGTTCCCATGGCCCCTGCGGACTGCTCATTGCGGAAGCTCCTCCCGGAGCGCGCGCTTGACACCAACGGCTCTGGAGGCGGGGGGGTGGATGTTGGAGCCCAGCGCACCTGATCTTCGAAACGAACCGCAAACACACCCAATACTTCCGATGCCGCAGTCTTCCCAGAAATCTCAGGACCGTCTCCGGATTCCGTTTCCCGATCCCGAAGATGATAGTCATAGACTCTATCTAGTACTGGCGGATGGTGGTGTTCATGACCTGCTCTATCCCGTCCATGCGGATGCTGGTGTTCATGACGTGACCTATCGAGTCCATGGTGATGGGTGTTCCTGACATGCCCTTTCTAGTTCCCCCAATTCGGCTGGTTCGTTGTATATATTTCTGTAGTTTGTTCTTTTTTTCTGAGAATTGCAGTGGTCCTCCGTGTTTATCTGACTTTGAAATTCGGAGAAGGGCTCTTGGATCTATCGGGCTCTCTGGGATCTGGAACCCCATGGCAACTTTTGTTTTTGTTCCCTCTCCGCAGGCGTTGTCGCAACCAGCGGCTGGGCCCCGTCAAAGAAAGGGGAGAGCGTAGTGCGAGCTGGACAGCTGCAGCACTGGTTCCCCATGGCCGTCAGCGAAGACCAGGGCGGACCTCTCCTTGATCAAGTCCGCCCCCACCTTCTCCAGGTAGTCCAGACCCAGAAGCATCGGGACTTAGTCTCGATCAGGTCGAACCACAGCTTGTTGTCGTCTCCGACCAGCGCCGCCGAATGCTCGATGCCGAACTTGCCGATGGACTGGCCCTTCTCGCCGCCCGCGTACGTGAACTTCGTCTTCCTCGCGTAGTCCATGGCGACCTGATCATCGCCCGCCCCCTCGATGATGGCGTCCTGGATGGCTGCGGCCAGGTCGATCCCAATCATACTCTTCGAGGCCCCCGTGTCGATGATCGCGTAGCCAATCATCTCCTCGTGTACCCAGCCAACTGGACCCTGCTCGGGAGCGTTGCCCTCATTGCCGTAGTTGTTCTCGTCGTCGTCCTCGGCATCCACGAAGCCCTGGGCGGCCATCTGCGCGTTGTTGCCGTCATTGCCCGTGTTGCCTCGCTTGGGGCAGTCTACGGCGCGATGAGGTCCCTGGCAGATCAGGCACTGGATGCCCTTGCCCTTCCCCTTGGGGGGTCTCCTCTGAGCTGGATGTGGAGCTGGTGGCTGTTGTGCTGCTTGTCGTTCTCCTCCTTGTGGTGCTGGTGGTCGTGGAGCCCAGAGCGCCGCCTTCGCCGTGTTGACCGTCTCCTGATCCTTGAACTGCTTCTCGGGGATCTGGCCGATCCCGAGAATTGGAAAGTAGCCGCTCCTGTTCTTCGCGGCCTCCGCCAGCAGTCGTTTCGCCTCTGTGAAGGTTCGGTGGGCGTCCAGCGCCTGGATGTCCTCCTTGTCGACCTCCTGCTCCTCGTAGTGGATGTCTGCCTCGTCTACCTCGTCGGCTTCATCCTCGAAGTAGCTCGGCTCTTCTTCTACGTCATCCTCCTGGTAGTTGACCCTGGACCGCTCCCGGCGAGGGTCTCGACCTTCTGGAAATCGTACTTCCCGACGTCGCGATACCAGGTTGTCCCTCGCCTGCAGGTCCTTGTCGGACCACACATACTTCACCTTCTCGATGACCGATTCTATCTTCCAGTCGTGTAGTCCTGCCACCACCGTGGCCCGCTCGCTTGGGTCCAAGTTCGCATTCACCAAGAAGATGATGCCGCGCAGCTCGTATGGGATGAGATCCATAGCCTCCAAGTCCGGGCATATTGCCCGCACGCTCTTCTCCATTTCCTGGTAGGCGTCCTCCTCCTGCTCCGCGTAGAGTCCGATCGTCTGGCCGAGCCTCCTCACGCGTGGTCCTGCCGTCTTCCTGTCGTAGTAGTACGAGAAGACCTTATCCACCACGTCGCTCGAGGCCTGCTTCCCTAAACTCCTCTGAAAAGCCCTGATCAAGTTGTCTGGGCCCTTCTCGCCGACGATCGAGTCCGTCTCACCCTCCACTCGCGGTAGTCGCAGGGCCAGCTTCCTGTGTGCGGTGTTCTTCGGCAGCGCCTGAATTAGTCGCGGACCGAGTAGATTCCTGTCCTCTTCCTTCGTCGATAGAGCGAGACGCTCCACCTCGGCCTGAAACTCGTCCAGCGCCTCCGCCTTGCCATCCCACGTCGGAATCATCTGGAGATCTCCGTTCTGGCCCGTGCTCGACGACGCAATTGATCGTCAGGTTCACTGTAACCAAGCTCCGCACTACCAATATCGTGTCGCTCTCGACGGGGTTACTCGTCAGAGTTCTTGAAATAGTCGATGACAAAGAAATCAACCGCAAATAAACGAATGTTGGGAATGAGAGTGTCTCTTTTCCTCGTGGCTGGTGCCAGGGGCTGTTCACCAGCCGAATCAAACTACAGCTCGATATGTAAACCGCACACAGAAAGCTCGAGCACTAAATAGAAGTGCGGAAAAACGGGTCTCCGGCAAGCCTTCAGGGTAACTTCCGAAATCTCGTTCCGAAACCCGACTTCTACGACACCCAGGAGGCCTCCAAGACGGCCCAAGAAGCCTCCAAGAGGTCCTCCAGGAGGACCCGAAGAGGCCCAAATCATGGATTTCCATCGGGTGTTTGAAAGATTGTGGCATTCGCCTCTTTTCTGCATTCCGACGGCTTAAGACGGCCCCACGATCGCCCCAAGATCGCCCACGAGGCCTCCAAGATGGCCCCATGACGGCCCAAGAGGCCCCCAAGACGGCCCCAAGGGGGCCCAAAGGGCCTCCAAGACGGCTAACATTGCCTCCAAGACGGCCAAAGAGGCCCCCAAGATGCCTCCAAGACGGCCCAAGATGCACCCAAGACTGCCTAAGCTGGCCTCAAGATGGCCCAAGAGGCCGCCAAGAGGCCTCCAAGACAGGTCAAAAGGACTAGGAGGTCTTCCAGGAGGGCACGACGAGGCCAAAAGCAGTGACTGTCCTACGGTTTTTGAAAGATTTTGGCATTTGCTTCTTCTCGGTATTCCGACGGCTCAAGACGGCGCAAGAGGCCCCCAAGATCGCCCAAGAGGCCTCGATGGCCCCATGACGGCCCAAAATGCTCCCAAGATGGCCCCAAGAGGGCCCATAAACGCCCAAGAGGCCTCCAAGACGCCAAGATGGCCTCTAAGAACTCCTGATATGCCCCAAGAGGGCCCCAACACGACCCAGACAGGCCCCCGAGACGGCTTCCGACGGCGTCAGACAAGCCAGGAACGCCCTAAGACTGCCCAAAGGCCCCCAAAAACCCTCCAAGAGGCTCCCAGGAAGCTCCCAGGAGGCCCCAAGAGCGCCCCAAGAGGCGCCCAACAGGCCTCGCCCTCCTCCTCCTCCTCCTCCTCCTCCTCCTCCTCCTCCTCCTCCTCCTCCTCCTCTATACTCCTCCTCCTCCCCCTCCTCCTCTTCTTGCTCCCCCATGCGTTCCCCGAAGTTTTTCCAAACCGACTCGGGGAACAACTGGCCCGATGGCTTGGCCAAGCTCTGGCCCAGCTGTCGGCCACAGAGGCGCTTCCAAAAGGGCAGGGGGCGGCGTTGATTCGCCGTAGGCGTTTTAGATATGAGCTGAGCCTTCTCCGGCGAAGAAGCTTTCTGGACAAAGACGGGATGCCCGTTGATCGGATGGCTGTCAATCCAACCCGTATGCCCATTGAGGTGGCGGGTCCCTGATCCCTTGCAGAGGGCAGAAAATCCACCCCGATAATAACCACCCCGACACGCGAAGTCGTTTAGTAAACGCGCCCAAAGAAGGAATCGAACAGGGCAGGGCTTTTTAGTAAACGCCCAGGGCCGTTCAGCAAACGCCAAGTGTCCGGTCCGGGTGGTCTTTCCCCCCTTGACCTTGAGCCCCGCGATAGCCACTCTTCTGCGCAAACGGAAGTCGCTTCTCACCAGCCCGATGTTGCGGAAATAGGGGTAGCGCTCGTCGACGCCGAAGCGCTCGGACGCGTCGAGGATCACGACAGTGCAGTGATTCTCCCATACCTTGAGTTAAGTCGGGCGTGTCCCGCCACAGGCGGATTAGGGGAAACAGTGAAACATATCCCAAACATACCCCCAACATATTCAAACATGATAATAAAAAATCGCCCCCTGACAATTTTTGACTGTTCTTGAATATTCCCCTTGTAGAGGGACAGGCCCGACTTAATCATACCTTCAGCCGGCACAAGCGCCATAAGCATACGCTTCCTCGGAGGTCCGCGCCGAGAGACCACCGCGCGGGCCGGGGAGGGTCGAGAGCGTCCCAGACAGTGCTGGTGCTCAGGGGTTCCCTCCTCCTCCTCCTCCTCCTCCTCCTCCTCCTTCCTCCTTTCCTCCTCCTCCTCCTCCTCCTCCTCCTCCTCCTCCTCCTCCTCCCCCTCCTCCTCCTCCTCTTCCTCCTCCCCCTCCTCCTCCTGTGCTCAGGGTGGAGGGCTCAGGGTGCAATCCAGATGGGTTTCCGTGCCGCGAAGATCAATCCGTCTTGTGATTCACCTCATGCGGATTCGAGCCTCGAAAAACCATCGGAAGGGCATTTCAGATTTTACCCTTTGTCCTCCACCCAAAGACAATGAAAGAAGATGCTCGGGGTTCTCCCTGTGGGAGTCTGAAACAACTGGACAGGTGTGTCGGGTTCCAGCGTGGATCCAAGAGATCCGCGCGGAGCTCCAAAAGTTTATGTTTCTTACACTCTCTCTGGGGAGGTCGTAAAAGAGTGGTGTGGGCCTAACCCCAAAATCCAAGACAACCGGGATCGTGGCACATGGAACTGTCAGATGCACCCAGCCCCGAAGACCAGCAATGATGAAGCCACGTGCGCCGGGATCAGAATTGGGATTTCCCCCCCCTCCCACCCACCCACCCACGACCCCTAGCTGGCACGACCCTTGTCTTTTGGACGCCCGAAATGCGAAGGAAACAGTAGGCACAATGCCCAACAACAAATGTTGTCCCAAACCAACAGCGGCCGCTGTTGGGCAGGCGGCCTTCTGCCTCAAATGGACACAGGCCGCGGCGGCGCGGACAGCGAGTCCTGTTAGCAATGAACAGGAACTGATGTTGGGCTTTGTGCCCATTCTTTCCGTGCCCATTTCGTTCGCGTCGATCTCTACAGCCTCCCCAACCTCCCCCGCGACGGCCTTCGTCACCACCGCCGAGCGCTGGCTGTAGTCGGGGTCGGCGCCGAGGCGGACGATGTCGCCCTCCTGCGGCGGCGGCGCCCCGGGCGCGCCCGCCCGCACGCCGAGCGCCGCCACCGCCCGCGCGCTGGGCTCCTCGAGCCGCGCGAGCTGCCCCGCGAGCCGGGCGGCCAGGACCCCCTGCCTGCCGAGCGACGCGAGCACCTCGGGAGATCTTATCGCGACAACTAGACGAGCGCGTTCCACGGCTCGCCAAGTCACTACTCGCAAATGGCCTGGATCCTCCCCGCGGGGGATAGCAGACGTGTGTTTTCCGGAATATCAGGTCGCATTTGGAGCCGGGTCCAGTTTTTCAGGGGGGTCGATTAATTCGAGATTTGGAACACGGCCGGACCTGGGACAGAAGAGCGCCCTTTAAGAACATGAGGCCCTCCGCCGGCCACGCCGAAGAGCATTCGAGGGTGCCCTTCCCCCAAAATGCACAAACGCATCCAACAAATACGGACAACTTCCAGGTATTTTTCCGAGCCGACCTCGATCTTATACCTCGGTCCGACCGTTGCGACGCTCAGGCGTGCGGCAGCCCAGGTTTCGGTCCCCATGCCGATGGGTTCTCGGTGGCGATGGTCCGTGTTTTTGCTGCGAATTAAAAGCTACGTCGCCAGCCCCACGGGCCCGAGGCGTGCTAAAATCTCTGGTGGCACGCGACGTGGCTACACCCAATTCACGCGCGCGCGTGGCGCTCCCTGGGGGCCCCCCTGGACGAGCACTGCCCTGGGCGGTCCCCAGGCGGTCCTCGTGCAAATGGTATGACGGATGCCCCGAACTGCTGGGGGCGGTCCTCAAGGCCCTCAAGATCGCCCAGGGACCGCCCGAAGGGACACCCCAGGGGAGCTCCAAGAGGGACCACGAATCGGGATCGAGAGGTGGCAGGCCTTAAGCAGGCCCGAAAACAGTTCCCAAGAGGCCTCGAGATAGCCCCCAAGAGGGCAACCAGAGGCTCCTTGTGAGCGCTGTTTTGTTTCATTCGGCGTTCCGACATTGGGCGGAGGGGGGGTGTCTGGCTCCGGACCTCTGCTGGATGCGACTGGTTGGGACCGTGCATCCTCTGGGGGAGACTCCCGCACTCGAAACAGGCGCCAAAAACAGCCAAGATCTACTCCACGGGGGGCAGGGGGGGGGGATGGGGGGGGTGCGAGGGCCCGCGCCGATCGGCAAACGAACGAATTTTAAAACGCGCACATTCGGTTTGGAGAATATGTTTTGCGCCACCTTTTGTCGGGCTGCCGACCACCCAAGACGCTCCAACGATCGCCGCAAGTCAGCCCGAAAGGCGCGCACGTCGGCCCAAGGGCTCCAAGACGGGAGGGCCCCAAAACGGCCGAAGAAGCTTCTAAGCGGGTTCCAGCGCACGGCCCCCCCCCCCAGGGCCGCTGGCGACCCGAGGAGGAGGAGGAGGAGGAGGAGGAGGAGAAAGAGGAGGAGGAGGAGGAGGAGAGGAGGGAGGAGGAGGAGAGGAGGAGGAGGAGGAGGAGGAGGAGGAGGAGGAGGAGGGGAGGAGAAGGAGGAGGAGGAGGAGGATGATGATGATGATGAGGAGGAGAAGGAGGAGGAGGAGGAGGAGGAGGAATAGGAGGAGGAGGAGGAGGAGGAGGAGGCGGAGCGGGAGGGGGAGGGGGGGGAGGGGGAAGGGGGGGAGGAGGAGGAGGAGGAGGAGGACCAGACCAAACACCTATCGGGGCATGAATCCGAGCTTCTGGGACCACTGCGCCCTAGGACCAGCGCATCTGCCGCGAATTAGGGTAAACCGGCCGCCCCTGAGTTTCCAAGGCATCGAAGCCCTAAACAACTACCGGAACAAAACTTCACAGCGAAAACCCGAGCAAACGCGCAGCTGACCCAGCAAGACTCTCACCAAATCCAGCGCTCTGAAAATGGCGGACAACTGCGCGAGCACGCTTCGGGGGGGGGGCAGGCGAGAGAAGCTCAGGAGGCAAAGGAAGGGGACGAGTGGGGACCTCGGCCTTGGCAGCGGCGGCAGCGGGGGCCTCAAGGAACGAGGCCGGAGTCGCCGTCGGAGAACACGACGAAGCACCCGCCGCACAACGGACACCCTGAACACCAGCCCTACGCACTTGACATGAAGACCTCAGCCTCTGTCCCACAGCGGCCATCTCCACTCCACCCCCTCGGAAAGTCAAGCTGTCGGCAGGCGACAGCAGAGAATGCTTTGGCGTGCCCAGACCACGCGCCTCAGGTGCACGATCAGCACTTTATGACATATCTAGTCGAAGCCGTCGCCCTGGAGGGAGGTCTGCAATATCCTCTCGAGGTGACTCATGGGGGCGGCGCCCAGCTGCTCGCAGCAAGCGGTCAACGTTTTGAGCGAGTCGAGCTTGGGCATCGGCACTTTGCACTCTCCGCCCTGAAATGCAATCTGTACTTTGACCAGTGGAAACATCTCCGCCACTTGTCGCATCTGCAGTTGGTTGAGTTCTTCGTTCCACTCCGCGGGGTTATTCGCATTAGCTTGTCTACACCGTCTTTTGCTTGCGCGCGGCCCTCGACCAGACCCGCGAGACGCACCGCCGAGATCGAACGCGTCGCCGCTAGCTCGTCCTCCTTCCCCCTCGCACGCAGGTCCTGAGCCGTCTCGGCCCACGCCTCCACGCGGGCGCGCGCCATCAAGACAGGCCCCGAATTCTCTGGCATCAGCGTCGTGACATGGGTGATGACCTCCTGCTGGCGCGTGCGCATCGTGGCGTTCAGCATTACTTTCGTGAGTACGGGGATGATGTTCTTGATCTGTGGCAATTCGAACTCCTCTAGATCCTCGATCACTTCCATGGGGGCCGTGCGTTTTTTTTTTTGTTGCGTTTTGATGTTTGTTTTTGTTCCCACCCCCCACACCCCCCATCTTCGGTTTGCCTCCGTCGGCGCGTTCTCCTCTGCCTCGTCGTCTCTGCGGGGGCTGATCGGCCATGGGCGCAGGAGGGGGGGGGGGGGCTGCAAGCATGCCGCGCAAACTCTGGGATCGGGAGCGGCAGATGCCCTCTGAGATGCTGCTGCAAAGATTCGAGATTCTCAAACTGCTGTGGGCGCAACGGGCGCGCTCTTTCCTCAATCGCTTCGATGGGGGCGTTATACCTAGATACATCAGCGCGACATCGTCCAAACCTATGCGCATTCACCAGATGCTGAACGGCAGTGCCCCGACACTGAAAGGCTGACGAGCACGCCGCGTACTGATTCGTGAGCGCGGCGTTGGACGCGAGGGGCGGCGCCCCGTGCGCGCCCCTGCGCTTGTCGCTGGTGCGTGAGCAGCGCCTTCCTCAAAGACAAACGCCGATCACATGGGGGCCCATCCCCAATCATAAGGGCACACGCAAAATCACCATCAGCTAACTCACTGGGTTCAGGAGTAGGCGCGGAACCCCCCCATCGCCCCAACAACCACTCAGCTCGAAACTGCTGCGCATCCAGTTTTGAAAAATTCTGAAACCTTCCGTATCACCCCGAAACACATCAGACTATGCTCCGTCAAGAACTTCCAACACCTGCGCACCCTCCTCAGTACATTGCATATATCTGCGGTCAACTTCGAACTGCTTAGCCCACGGATTATCCCTGGGGTGTCCCTCGGTTTGACCTGGGCACTCGGAAACCACGAGATGGCAGACGGTGTTTCGCGCTCGAGGTCGAGGGCCCCGAAAACAGCCGCGAGTTGCTGGACATGCCAGCCAGGACTACGAGCAACCTTTTGCCATTCCCGAAGACGTTGGACCCGCAGTTCAAGCCGGGTGGGAACAAGACCCGCCTGCCTCCACATAACTCCCGCTGGTGGCGTAGGTGTGACAGTAGTCGTAGGACCGCCATCAGCTATCAAATCGGTCCTCTGGGCAACCCCACCGAGAAGTACTTTAAGGTAGCGTGGACACGTGGACTCCAGACGGGCAACCTGGGACTCCGTCAGCACAGGAGCAGCGAGGCCAGACACGGCGGCCCCTATGACATTGCTGCGGCACGCCATCTTCTTAGCCCTCCAGGAAGCACACTGGGCCCAAAAACGCTCATGTGCCCAGCCCCGCACAATCGCCGCACATCTGGCAGCCGCCGCGTGGCCCCACGACCCCGAGAAGAAAAACGGCGCCCCCAGGAAGGGCACCGCGGGCAGAACCGCCCCAGGGATGCAGCAGTGCCCCGACGAGCACGCCATCATCGTGTTCCAGCTGGCCCCAAGGCCGCAAAAGTGCGGAACCAATTTCTTCGTGCCGGCGCTCTGGAAGACCCCGCGGGCAGAGTCCAGAAGGCGACCCGACGTCCCAGTAATCCTCGTGGCCTCGATCAAATCTTTCACCGCGTGGGTTTTGTTCAGATCGTCAGCGACGGCCCGCGAGCTCGGGTCGCTGCGAGTGCCAGCGATGGCGCAGACGCCTCGCAATTAATTCTCATAACGTCCGTGATGGTATTCTTGACATCTACGAACCGGTGGGGCAATCGCATCCCGGAGCACAGTGGCAGCACTGGCGCCCCCCATGTAATCCCCGTCTGAGTTTTGAAAGAACTTGGCCTCCCCCCCAGCACATGCCCGAGCGCAGGCTCGCCTATGCCGCTGCTTCAAGATGTTCGCATCCTCCTGGGAGACCAGCCTATCGACCGCAGAGCCCAGTGAGACATGCCCCACAGACCCGAAAGCGTTACGCATATCGTGCTTCGCGTCGATCGTCGAGAGACGTCCTCGAGTCGTCCTCCTCGTCAGCGCCGCCGTCTTCCTAATCGCTCCCGCCCTCGATCGTCGTGGAAGATAACCGTAGTCGTAGCAGGGGGCAGTCCTCGCGCGCGTCGTCGCCACCTTGACCCACCTCTCGCCAAACGAACAGAGCCCGCGAAGCAATCTCACGCGCTGCGCTTTGGTCTTCTGAGTTTCTCTAGACAGCTGATAAGTGAAGGACGCATTCCATTGAGAAACAAAGCGCTGATGTTGTCGAACCTAGGTCAATATCCCCTTCGCCCACGAGCGCATAAGCTGGCCGACGCCAGCGGGCACGGGAACTCCGAGCCCAGCAGAGCGCGCAGGTGCGTCAGGGCGCGAAGACAGCTGCAAAGACCAAACTCCATTCGGAACACTCCTCGGCACTGACGCCTTTCGGCGCACAGCTGTTCGAAATCCTCGGGCAATCCTCTCGAAGTCCTCCCCCCCCTGG